TTTGATGATAAACATGCTATATACTGCACTAAGTTGTATGGGGGTGTCCAGCTTTAAACATAGACTCAAATAGCCCAAATTTATTTTTAAACGTTTTCGTGGAAAGAGAAAATGAAAAGTTTCTTGAAAGAAGGAAAGTTGACTGACTGTTAGCTGACTAACAGAAAAAAGTATTAATTTTATTTGTGGAATTTCGAAGCTTCATTACCCGAAATGGTAATATTGAATAAGTATTTCGGTAGTGGAAGCATCAAGGCATGAATCGTACAAAATGAGTCATTAAAATTTTCGAAAATTCCGTAATATCTAAATATTAAAAAAAAAAATCATATCGGATCGGAATTTCTTATGTTGACGACTTTTGGAATGGTATGAACGAATGAATGAATGAATGAATGAACGAACGAACGAACGAACGAACGAACGAACGAACGAACGAACGAACGAATGAACGAACGAATGAACGAATGAACGAACGAACGAATGAACGAACGAACGAATGAATGAACGAACGAACGAACGAACGAAGCAGAATGAACTGGAATTTTACGTTCTACGCTCTTGTCAAATGAATGGAAAGCCAAAGAAGACTGAAAATCAGGGTTCAATGAGTGAAATTTTGCCAGATCATTAACATCTGCATACTCTTTTAAGATTTCCAAATGTCCAAGGGCCATCAACGTGCACAGCCTGTAAGGGCCTTGGTTTATTGTCCAATCCGAAAGACTATCGGCAGTTTTTCCACTATATTTTTTCTTGGAAAGTCAAGTTAGCTCTTCATAGTAAATTATAAATAATTTATGTAGGTCAAAATTAAACGCTATTTATATACATAGCTGTATAGAAATATTACAGCAAAACTTGAATCGTGTTGTTTTTAATATTTCTATATCGTTCTTCAATTGTATTGTGCACTATATTAAAGTGATACTACGTCTTAGAATGAAGATAAAATTTAAGTTCTCGAAATGATCAATATGAGTATATATTCATCAGTAAACTTACCTGGTGTCATAAAGTTACAACAGAATCCCTGTAAAATCTAGAAAATTGGAAAATTCATAAAACTAAGTAATTATTGAAAACGCTTAATCTTGATATTAAGCGTTTTTCAATAGTTAATTGCATATTTATGGATAATTACTAAGTTTTTTG